GAAAGGCTATTTTGCATGTTTTTTGCTGAAGTAGGCAAGGCCTTACGAAAGGACGGTACAATTCCCATCCAAGGTTTACATTTATAGTGAAAGCTCTGCCCATTCATTTGGATTCGAGTATATCTTGGCATGTATCCTGCTGTTTGAAGAAAACCATGTTTTTTGAACTAGTTCGGGAAATAAGACATCCGTTATTCCGGCATTTTACAGCCTGTGGCATCTTACTTTTCTATTTAATCTTGGTACAAGTTCTCTTAATAATGTAGGGCAAGTCAAGTGACAAAGATAGGAAGGCTCGGCTGAAATCACAAGGTGCAAAAGCAGTTGAGGGCAAGGACTATGCCGCCGCATCAAAATTCTACACAGAGGTATATTTTGAGGCAGTTATATTCAAAAACGCTGTTACTGAAAACCCATTGGAAAACACTTTTATTTCTGTATTGCTAATGTAATACTGTATCATTAACTAGTTAACACAAATGGAGCAGATCATGGTTCTTGTTTTACCCCGCAATAAACAGGTTGTGCTTCGTGGTCTTTTAACATTTGGTTTGGTGCAGGCAATCAAGCTGGATCCGGCTGACGCGGTGTTGTATTCGAACAGGAGCCTTTGCTATCTGAAGTGTGGTGAAGCACATGACGCTTTGATTGATGCCAATGCTTGCATAAGTCTGGACCCTAAGTGGCATAAAGGTTACTACCGGAAAGGAGCCGCCCTTATGTCTCTTCTGGTAAGAATAAATGTTTTTTTTGCTGCTTTATACATCACCTCCGGCCCTGTAGAAAATCTTTGAACGATGATTTCATTATTAGGAGTACAAAGAGGCCTCTGATGCGTTCTCGGCTGGAATGAAACTGGAGCCTAACAACAAGGAGATGCAGGAGGCGCATAGGTACAATCCAGTTCATTCCTTCTATAGCTATTCTTCAACGGTTGATTAATTAAATTACCTTTAAACAGTAGTGATATTATGGACCATGTTTTATGAACCTTGGTGCTCGTATGATGGTTTCACATTTTATGAAAGTTAGTGTTACGTTGCTGGCCGTATGTTTGTGCATGCTGTACTGTGGCATATCATTCCTTTTGCGACAAAAAATAGCATTCCCGTCTGATTTTCAAACAAAGGGACTACGAAATGGTTGTGTGAAGATGGAACAACCTGGAGCATTTATAATCCCATTGGCATCGTGTCGTGTGAAATGATTGAGATTTCTACTCGTTTCCTGTTGGCAATTTCAGGGAGGCAGTTGAGGCAATGAGGAAGGAACAGTCTGAGCCGAGTCTCTACGCACTGGATTAGTTCTTCAGGAGTGCTTCTGCTTCCACAGTAGTCTTTTCTGAATGTTCGTTCTGTGTATATGTACCTGTAAAAAGGTAGAACGTACTTGTGTAGTGGTTTTGCATGTTACGATCCAAAACGCTCTTTGGATGCTGGGAGCTCTTATCAGCACATGAAACTGTTACCAAATGCCGCTCGGCAGTCGGCATGTCTTCTTTTTTCTGCGTGTTTGATGCAGTTTGGATGTTTTCATTGGTCCTCCGCTCAGGGCTTGTAAGAGCAACTCTAGCGGATCCTGCAGAATTTCGATTGCCATAAGGACATTTGTTGGGTGTGTCTAGGGCACATCTAGATGGGCTCTAGTTATTGCACATCTAAGTGAGTGAATCAAGCATAAAGAGAAGGAAAAAAGAGAAAGAAAATATTCACACGAATCTCAATGTAAGGTCAATGACATATGACTTAGATGTGTAATACTTATGGCACATCTAGATGTGCTTTAGCAAAACTGACATTTGTTAATATTTATGGAGGCTAAAACGGTTGAAGGCAAACACAGCTAACAAGGTAGAATCTGGTGCTACATTTTCTTTCGGTACTGCTATAATTGTATTTTTTGGGGGAGCAAAATCAGCTAGGCTTTATTAAACCGAGGTAATGTTTACAGGTATTACATATGGATCATGAGGAGGACCTAACCACAAATGTCTACTCTGTGGAAGGGAAACACCTAGCCTAGACAACTTATGAGCTTCAAAATTAGAAGCTCGAAATTCATGAACAAAAGAGCATGAAATAAAAGATTTCTCCATCTCCTTAATCTCCTTGACGACGACACCATAAGATCCTCTAGCCACACAATTGATATTTTTCACCACTTGCAATTTCATGCAATATGAAGATGGCGCACCCCCAAGTCTTCAGCCGACGATAGAGCATGCAATCGTCTTAGTGAAGTAGGATCCACCGATCCATGAGTGACCAGGACTGATGACTCTAAAGCCTAGTTTTTTGCCAGAATCTGAGGATTCTCCCAGAATTCGACCCTTATCCAGTTTTTTTCAGAATTTTTGAGCCCTATTTGTTCTACAATCCTATCTAATTAGACCCTAACTAGATAGAATTGTAAAAAAAAAATGGGACTTAAAGATTCTGAGAGAAGTTGTGTAGGGGTTGGATTATGAAAGAATCTCTAGATTTTGGAAAAGAACTGGGCCTAAATATGTGCCATCTCTGTCACGGCAAATTGCTGCAGCCACCCCAATATTATGGTTCACAGATACTCCCGCGTCAACATTCATCTTAACACATCCAACAGGATATGGCATCCATCTCTTCCCCCCCTGATTTGCAGGGCCAATGTTTGGCGTCAGCAAAGGGATAACTTGATCAAGTTGTGAAATAGAACTCGTCACAACAAGGTGAGTGGAAAGGGGGCTTTGATGTATACCCTCATGGATGAGTTTTCTTGCCGTCCAGATTATCCACAACGTTACCGTCATACGAGTTAGCTCCTCATGCGGCAGAAGCTTCATCATGGAGAACAACCAATTTCATGCGAGTGGTTCCGAAGTGGCTATCATATGTTCCAATAGCACTGGATCGACCAGAGACCACGCACATCTTGCCATCGTGCACTCGATGAGATTGTGACGCCATGAATCTTGCATACCACACACGCAGCAATTATTGTTCTTATGTTTCCGAACATCTTCCGTTCGAACGACTAAGTTCGATTTTTCCGCGTCCTGGGGGCGTGACTGGAAGCTAGGTCGCCCCAGGGGCCGAACTAGCGCCGGTTCACCCCCGGACCGTTATTTTTTAGCGTCCTGGGGGCCGAACGGCTGGAGATGCTTTTAATTTCAGATTTATCAACTCCGGCTATACACACACAAGCTGTCTCTGCTACACTTATTTTGGGCACACACTCGATGCACCCCAACCCCACTGCATGCGTTGAAGTGATAGCTGCAGCAGAAGCAGCTCGACATCACTCGGCTCACCCAGTGGGAAGCACCAACACATGCCACTATGGAGATCGTCACGCCTCCCCGGATTCTCCGTCGTCATCCGCAGTCAACGGCCCTCCCACTGGCGCCTCCGCACCCCGCCCGTCCCGTCGCATCCCATCCATCCGTCGCAGCCTTCTCTCTCCCACACAGAGGCCTCCTTTCCTTCCCATAGAAGCCACCGCCCCACCGCTAACCCCGACCGTCTGCCCGCCCGCTTCCAGGGCCTTCGCGAGCTCTCTCCCGCCATGGAGAACGGGAGGATCCCTAGCGGCGCCGGAGGAGGATGCGCGAGCGCGAGCGACGTCCAGAGAGCCGCGGCGGCTCGCGCCCTCGCCGACGTCGCCGCCCGCCTCGGCCTCCAGGCCACCGTCACCGACGTGGGCACGTGCGCGCACGCGACCCCCTCCGCTCTGTCTCGCCTCACCATTTCGGGCGAGTTTCATTCGGTCTACCATGGCCCCTGACGTGTTCCTTCCTGGCCTCCCGCTCGTCGCGCGCGCGATCTGGGTAGCACCGGCTGGCAGTGGCCGCCGCAGGAGCAGTTCCTCTTCGCGTGCGAGGACGGCGACCTCGACCGCCTCAAGGGTAAGACCCTCCTCCGTGATGGCATTGTTCTGGATTAGGGTTTACCTTAGCCGTAATTAACGTGGTTCTTTTGAAATCTGGGTCGATCGTCTTGAAGCCGTGGTAGATGGCATGGGCGAGGATGACAGGGAGTCGCTTGCCTCCGTGAGGCTCAGGGACGTTGGGGCATTGCATGCCGCAGCATCCAAGGGTGATGTGGGGATCTGCAAGTACTTGGTGGAGGAGCTTGGATTTGATGTCGACTCCGAGGCTGCTAATCCTGGCTCTGGTACGGCCGGCGCCTCTCCCAAATACTACTACTGAATCAAATGCTTCTGTGTTTCAGTTGAGTTCTTGTTTCTGACTGGGAAGCAAGCTAAGCAAATACTACTTCATACGGTACAACGCAATTCATGAATTATTGGCATCCATCTGTAGGAATTTCCTTTCCTCATTTGTTTCGTCTCACATATGCGGGCCAGTCAATTAAATTCTTACCATTCCGATTATTACTTCGTTTTAACATATTTTTGTCGCGTAATATAAGCTTGTGCTAGTGAAACCTGGTGATTATAAAATTTCCTTCTAAAAAGTAAAAACATGCTTGTGAATGATGTTTTGTTATGCAGTATTAATTATACCACCACTTGTTTATGTGCACCTGCAAATGTGCGTATCTCTGAGATTTCAGTCTTCAGTATTGCTTGTGATATGCATCCCTTCATATGCTGAGCAAGTGAAGAAGACGGCAGTAGATTTCTTAGGCCCAACCGTTTGTTATTACGGTATGGCAGGGTGTCAATGTTTGACTAAATTGCTTGATTGTAATGCTTTGTTGGCAGGTGCGACGCCTTTGTCTTTTGCGGTGGGGCATGGGGAAGTGAATGCCACAAGGTATTTTCTTGAAAAAGGTGCTGATCCCAACATAAAAGATTCCTCCAACGGCACGACTCCTCTGCATGAAGCAGTAGCAACAGGTGTCTATTTCTTCACATTCTGCACTGTAAAAAATGGTTGCATATGATTTCATATTTCTCTGTTGAATTGCTGCCCGATCTGGTTATGAGGTTGACCATCTGAGTGATAATACGCAAGTGATGGTTCCACCACATGATTTTTTTAAATAAATATCCCAAAATGAATTTGTCCCGCAATTGAAATTCTTTTTGCCAGCGTGTTGTCTATACTGATAGTATATAACTATTCAAACTGTGTGGATGCCTCCTTTCTTGCTAGGCTGTGATGAAATTGCACGACTGCTGCTATCGAAAGGAGCTAATGTTGATGCACCTTCTCCTCATGGGACGCCTCTAGTTGCCGCTGCAGCTCATGGGAAGTTCAGTGCTATGAAGATTTTGCTGGAGCACCATGCAGATGTAATTAGTAAATTGATGTTCTTCCATTTGAGCTATTTTTTCTTCATAGCTCAAGTTTTTATGCATATACAATCCCTAGAATCATATTTCTTCAACATATGTGGAACCTGGGAGGTCCCTTTTGTTTTTCAAACTAAAATTGCAGCCGAACAAAGTCTCATGGGACCTTGGTACACCCTTGACCACAGCACTCTATGTTACTCCTGAAAGAATGAATGAATCCACTTGCTTAGAGTGCATGAAACTTCTTGTCAAGGTATGGTGTGCTGTTCACATTCTGCACATTATGATTGCTTGAGGGAATCTTATGGTGGAAGATGCCTTTGTATTCTCCATGTGTTTTATGTTATATCTGTTCACCCACAGGCTGGTGCGGACGTCAATTGTACAACTCCTGAAACTCCATTGGCGATAGCAACTAACAATGGCTTAACCACATGCGTTAAATACTTGTTGGAGGTTGGCGCAAATATCAATGTTCCAGCTAAGCAGGTGAATTATTTTTCTAATTTATGTTAGTTCTTAAACCTTGATACTTGATGCTCTTAACATCATTGTTGTTGTCTCTGACACTTGTTGGATAAACCTGTCCCGGGTGATGAATATTATATGATGTCTCTTGGAACTCGAGTGCATGCAAACCATAATTTTTGTTTACTGCTCCTTTAGTACATCTCGCTGTATTCAATATGTGAGGTTCAGTGACGTTGAGACAAAATCATGGAGTGAAAATCAGATTAGAAGCTCCAGTCGTCCTGTCCAAAAACTAGGTGCTGACTAATTCCACCATAAAGGTCATCTGGACGGAACGATCCTATTGCTGAGACCTTGTATCATTCATGATTTCACTTTTCAATATCGGCAGTTCATGTTTAGCTCAGTGTTTGTAGGCGCCCAATGATGTTACGTTTTTACTAGTTCCATGAGAAATTTTGGATCCAGACATGTCACAAGCCAAAGAACTGTTTGCTTTGTCTCCCACTGGTTGCCTTTCATGACATCATGTTATAGAGGAGATTGCATCAATTATGTATCTTCGTGTTTTTGCAAAAATCTTGTCCCGTCATTT